AGATGGTGGCGAGGTCGGGCTTGAGCATCTTGGAGAAGACCTGTAAGGGATGGATTGAAGCGTTTACTCGTGATAACTTTTCTCTCGCTGTCTGCCTCTTTCTCCCCTTCTCTCTCTCTCACTCTCCTCTCTCTCTCTCTCTCTCTTCCATAGGCTCACCTCAACGGTCGTGCTCGCTTCCGGTGCCTCAGTGGAGGGAACTTCAGGAATGAGGGTGGCGAGCGTGGCGGGACCAAGTCGGAGCTTTTCCTTCTCGGTGGTTGAAGCCTCAGTCACGGCTTCGGTGGTGGCCTAGAAATCGAACATTTCTCTCGCGCTCTCTCGCTCTCGACCTCTCTCTCGCACTCTCTCTCTCTCTCCCTTTCTTACCTCAGTCTCCTTTTGCGTCGTCTCCTCGACCTTCACATCCGTAACAGCAACCACCGTAGTCGGCTTCAACGTCGTGCTCGCGTCGGGAACAGCTTCCGTGGTTTCGGGCTAAAATTCAGTTGCGTAATCGGTTCTGGTGTGGAAAACGTACAACAACCACAACGGTAGTTTTCTTCTCAACGGCGCGGATCTCGGCCTTGATGATCGGCTTCAAAGTGGTTGGCTCCTGAAATGAGAGTTTAGAGGGAGGGAGGGAGAGCGAGAGAGAGAGAGAGAGAGAGAGAGAGAGAGAGAGAGAGAGAGAGAGAGAGTTAGAAAAGCTTCAGTACCCACCGGTTTGGCTTCAGTGGTGCTCTCAGCAACCACGACAGCTTCAGTAGGCTTCTCCTCAACTTTCTCAGTTGTTGAACCTTCGGTGGTGGAAGAAGAAGATGAGGAAGAAGATGAAGAAGAAGCTTCAGTTGCCTGAAAGCCGAGATTTGAGCGTTTAAAACCGCTTATTGCAAGGGCCATGCATAAGCTTAATCCTAAGCCTATGCCTAAGCCTATGCCTAAGTCTAAGCGTGAGCTTACCTTATCCGTCTTCTCCTCAACCGGCCGCTGTGTCGCCAAAATCTTTTCCAATTTTGTGCTGCTCTCCGGGGTCGTGGAGATCGGGCCGAGCTCCTGAGATTCTTAGGAGAAATTCTGGGATGAACTCACTGGCAACGTGGTCGTCTCAAAGTGCTTGGCCTCGGCCCACCATTGAGCTGTGGCAACGTTTAGGAAGCAGAGCGAGATGACGGCAACCCGGATGACCATTGTGACAGCTGCTCAAGTAGCATATTAGAGGACGCGGGCGAGAGAAAGAGTGACAGAGAGTTCGAGAGATAGAGAATGAGAGAAAGGGAGAGAGAGCGAGAGAGAGAGAGAGCAAGAGAGAGTGACTGTGAGTGAGCACGAGAATAGGGGAGAGTAAGCACTAGGCGATACAGAGCGATTTACGAAAATGAACGGAAAATGAAAATGAGCTAAAGCTAAAAAAGCAAAAATTCCAAGAAGAAATACATTAAGAAATCGCCTCAAAAAATTATAGAAAAGCACAGACATTTTTTGAGTGGCTGTTTGAATTTTAAATCTTTGAAAATCGTTATCTACGAAAAAATCTTAAATTTGTAAAAAAGGCTTGTCGGGCTTTTTAAAGCAAATCTAGAAGTCAAAAAAATCGCCAAAAAATAGGCTAAAAATAAGGAGAAAAATAGATAAAAAACGAGTAAAATATTTTATGAAGTGTTGATATCAGCGTCCAAAAGAGTAAGTTTTTTTCGAAAAGCATTTTCCAAAAGTAGGGCCTATATCAGGATCCGGATACAGTATCTTAAGCAGAATCTTTTAAAAGAGCCAACAACCATCGTAAATTCAGCCAAAAATCCCATCCGGCGTGAAGAGCCTGGAAGTGATAGCGGAAGCGCGCGTCCGTGGCTCCGGCCTCACGTCTTCGGCGGCTTATAAACGGCGGAGCGGGGCCCAAGGGCCCTCCCACCACTCTGCTTCCCTCGCCCCTCACTGTCTCTCTCACTCTCTCGCTCTCTCGGGCCCCACCCTTCCCTTAGGGGAATCGTCTCTCTTCTCCAAAATGGTCCAAATGGCAAACATCCGCCCCTGCGGTCCGGCCATCGCGCTACGGGACACTCCACGCGCACGCTCTCACACCTAGCCGATGGCCATGTTGGAATGGAGCGAGAGAGGAAAGAACGGATTCAAAGTTTTGGAGAATCCACGGTTTTCAGGGATTCTGAAATTATGGTGATTTCGCTAAGAAATCGATCTGTCAGCGGTACGCTACGCGTCACTCCTCTCGCTTCTCGGATCCGTTTGTAATCGATTACGAAATTGAATGTTTAAAGGAAGCTGCAAGGCTTGGTATGGAGGGTTATTCCTATGGATCACTATGGATTTGCGCCGTAACACAATAAATGGCAAGGGACAGCTGCTGATTTTGGAGAGCGAAAAGTGCAGAGAGGCGAGAGAGAGCTAGAGAGAGCTAGAAAGAGCTAGTGAGCGGCGAGAACGCGAGAGGAAAGGAGCGAGCAAGACAGAGAGAGAGATGGAGATCGTATGGAATTTGGTGCTCTCCTGCTCGAGAACTAGTGACTTGAAAGGACTTTCTAACTGATCGATCTAAAATCACCTTACCTAAGCCTTCATGGGCTCTCTTTCTATCCGTCTTTTCCTCTCTCACTCTTGCTCTCCCTTTCTCTCTTTCTCTCTCCATCTCTGTTCTCTCCCTGTCTCTCTCTCCAGAAGCCTGTCTCTCTTTTCCATCCACGAAAAATTTTGCGACCTAAGTCATCGAAGCCATCTGATTTTCCCTGATGCCATTCTTGGTCAACAACATCCTACCCCAAAACGATGACCACTCCGATCTCCCCGCGGGACCAGGGTGCGCCCCCAGGCGAGTCTTATTTTTCCGCGTGCCCCATGTTTGCTCTCACACATTCACATGCAGATTTCCGGGGTCTGCGCGCGTAGTCTGGGGGCCATACGAGGCCCTCGGGGCGCGCCAAGTTCCGTATTTTGGCGCTCTACAGCGCGCACTATCAGGGTGCCAGGGCGTCGGAACAGCCGGATTGGCAGGATGAAGTGGGTGGCGCGTTGCCAGCGGGCACATTTTGGTCCGAATGGACCCACTTGACGGGAGCACGCTAGCGGCAATTTTTTCGTGGTATCGGGGTGCTAGTGCACCAGAATTTAAGAGATGCAAATGAGCAAAGAATCGGAATTTTTGATTTTTAGAGGGAGCAGTGCAGCCAGCGCAAGTTCCGGTCAAAATGTCGACAGCCGGAACCCGGACGGCAAAATCCCGACAGGTCAAAATCCTGACGGTTCTTGACTTTTCTTTTTCTTTCCATCCTCTTCAACAGCTATTTTGCATGTCGGGGTTTCGGCCGTCGGGGGTTTTTTGGGTTTTTCCCCCCAGGGGTTCGGCATCGGCTTGGGCTTGGGCCTAGGTTTAGGCCTGATCTTAGGCTTAGGCTTGGCGTGATCAGATTGGCTTTTTTTGCCAGTTTTAGGAATAAAATTTTAGAAGAAAAAAAAAGCAACTTAACACGGAAAAAGAGGCTTTAAGGCGTACGGCCAGGGTATAAGTATATACCCATAAACTCTCAAAAACTACGGCTTTAGGATGTTTACAGACTGCAGCACCTAATACTGGTAAAAAGGGAACCAAAATCGCAGTCTTAGCTTACAAAATTTGTCTATGAAAAACTTTATCTTTTCATTGGACCACCCCCTACCCCGGAGAAGACATCGTTGCATATCTGCTCCATTCCGTTACAAATTTGGACTTTGTCCTCACCGGGCCGCCATTCGTTGGGTTGGCATTGTTTGCGCAGAGCGGGCGGCCCGAAGTGGCTTGTAGCGGCCCGCCCCGGGTATTTCCTGGCCAGCGTGTTTTTGCCCGGCAAGAGGCTTTTGTGGTGTTGCGGCCCCTCCTTTCGGACATTGCAACATTCGGTCCCTCCCTTCAGTCCTTCCCGCTTCTTTTGCCAAATAGAGAGAGAGAGAGTGAGAGTGAGAGAGAGACAGCCACACCCCGTGGGAACACGCGTTTCCAGGCCGCACCATTCCTCTCAATGCACTGTGCGGCGCTAGTTTTCGCACGTTTTCCCTGAATGGGACGGCTAGCCTGAAATAGACCACAATCTAGGGAATAACATCTTTAAAGGAGTTGGGAACCAGAGGGTTAGGTTTTGAGCGCATAAAAATAGTATAAAAAGTTTTCTTTCCAAAGGCCCCCCCCAAAAAATTCTCGGCCCCTCAAATAATCTCTGCTAGCTTCGCCTCTTCTCAAAGACTTCTTCCCCTTAAAATCTCTGCTAGCTGGCCGTTTATCAAAGATCCTCAGCTAGCGGTCTATTTTCAAAAGATCACTGCTTGCATGCTTTCCCAGAAAGAAACTCTGCTAGCCTGTCTCGCCCCAAAGGGTCTCTGCTAGCTTGCCTTTTCTACTTCTGCTAGCATCCCTTTTCTCAAATAATCTTTGCTAGGTTGCCTCTTCCCAAAGAATTCCTGCTATCTTGCCCCGGACGCTTTCCATTAATGCGTCAAACTACCTTTTATAGCCTAACGCTCAGCCGAAATGATCCTTGCTGGCTTGCAGCTCCTCAAAGAACCTCTGCTACCTGGCTTCGCTTAAAAGAACCTCGGATAGTTTACCTTTTCTGAAAGAATTTCTGCTCGCTTACCAAGGACTATCTAGGCACAAATTCTCCGAAATTTTTATCAAACATCTCAAAAACGCAAAATATAGCAAAACACGAAAAGGACAGTATAACACAGACGGTACCGGGCATCAAAATACAGGGTCGAAAAACTGACATGGACATTTCCGGGGGGAGAGACACTGAGCCGGACAATTGAGAGCAATATTCATTGTGCAAAATTACAAGCAAGCAGGAAAGATGTAAAACTACAAACAAAAAATATATTAAAAACCTATCTAAGATATGCATTAAAATCATTAAAAATCATCAAAAAAATCTTTAAATCACATCTTTAAATACCAGGAATCGGTTGGGAGATTGAGAGTTTCGTTCGTTCGCAGATTTTGGATCGTAAAAAAGCCGGAATAGTTTCCAAATTTGTTAATTTGGTAGGAAAAGCTGTCGCGGGTTGCTCATACGACGGAGCTTTTGGATGAGGGCTGGGGGCTTGGCGTGGCGGCTCATGTGAGGGGGCAGATCGCTTCTGAGGTCGGAAGCTGCCTGAAAAAAATTGGTTTTTGAGGGATTTTTCACCCTCTCTCCCCTCTCTCTATCGCTCGTTCTGTAGCTCTCTCTATCATTCGCTCTCGCTCTCCCGCTTTCTCTACCTCTCTGTTTTCTTTCGCGCGTTATCTAGCTTTCTCTCCCTTTCTCTCTCTCGCTCTATCTCGCTCTCTCTAGCTCTCTCTAATCTCTCTCTCTCTCTCGCTCTATTTCTCTCCTCACCTGCATCATCCTGAGCCGTTGTCGATAATTCTTGGCCCTGGTGTGATCGTTCACAAGTTGCTGAACGTAGCTCGAGGGGAACCATCCTCCAGTACCATCTCGGGATCGCTCTCCGTAGAACCAACCTGAAAATTAAGATCTAACGGGAGAGCGAGAGAGAGAGAGAGAGAGAGAGAGAGAGAAAGAGAGAGAGAGAGAGTGAGAGAGAGGGAGAGAGAGAGGAAATAGATCATCGTTAAACTCACCATCAGGCATCTTTCTTAAAATATTGACGTGATCCCCAACGGCCAGGTCCAGCTCGTCATCCTGTGCGCGTCCATATGAGTGTACGGCCACAGCCTGTGGACAGTCCCACTCGGCGTACACCCTCTCGTCCGGGTTTGCGCTTTGCGGGGGCCGCATCGCGCTCAGCCAGCGCTCGCGGTCACTTTCGTTATCGGCCGAGAAGAGGTATTCTAAAAATTTAGTTGTTTTAAGAAAAAAGAGACAGAGTGAGAGAGAGAGCGAGAGGAAACGAGAGCGAGAGCGAGTTAAGTATTACCTGACTGTTTCCCCCTTGCATTCCGCATCAATACGCAGAGGAAGAGGTGAGGTCGATTGGGGAGTTGATGAAGTAGCCCGGAGGATATCTTAAAAAATATATTTAGAATTGAGGGCATCTGCTAACCTTTGGGTTTTCTGGCTCCAACGGTGAGGTGTCAACGAAACGGCGCTCCGCGTAGTCTTGGCAGACGTAGGTGCCGTTCCTGGAATTTTTAAATTATCTGATTGCGCAAAAAAAAACGAGAGAGAGCGCGAGAGAGTGAGAGAGAGACAAACAGAGACAAAAGTTGTTCATAAAGCTTACATTTTCTGCTTGGTGATGATCAACAGGTCGCTGAAGAGGAAGAGGTACACATGACGCGCTTTTGGACGGCTCTAAAAATTAAAAATAGTAACAAAAAGGGTGTATTTGTTTATCCGCCTACGGTATATCTAGATATCACTTACATGAAGCAACGATTTTGGGCCTCGCTCTGAGATCTCGTAGAGGCAACCCCGTTTGACGAGGTGCCGATGGGCCGAGACGAGGGCTACTCTTCTGGAATGGGAAAATATAATATGGGAGAGAGAAAGCGAGAGAGAGAGAGCGAGAGACAGAGAGAGAAAAAGGTATCGATACTAAAACCCACTTCAACTCTGAGTCCTTGTAAACCAGCCGGCGATCGACCTCAAGAAGTTGTTCGGTTCGCTCCATTCTTCTCGCGCCCTCATTACAGCTCGACACGACCTAAAGTGTTGGGTTTTATAGATTACGACATTATATCAAGGCAGTTGAGTTCGTTAGTCCGAGCATGAGCTCAAGTCAAGGATTAAGGTGAGCCGAAGCCCAAGTCAAACCTGATTAGCCAGCGCCAACGCTTTCGCCGCGTTCCTGTGCTTCTCCGAGCCGATCGGCTGGCGCTCCAGAATCGCGTAGATCAGCAGTGGATATCTAAAAAATTCACGACGCATTAATGGGAGGTCCGAGGCCCACCTGGTGATTCGTTGCATTGGCAACATCAGAAATGATCGCATGTCGAGGCCTTGGCACTTGAAAATGGGTTTTTCGAGGTTCACACTGTTGGTGAGGTAAACCCAGAGAGAGGAGAGAGAGAGAGAGAGAGAGAGAGAGATTGATAGAGATTTACCTGCTTGTCCGACTCCAACCTCCCTACAGCCGATAGAAAACTGGAATTCTCCGTCTTCAGCCGGCGAAGTGTTCGATCTTGGTACACCTGAAATGGACTTATAGTTTAGAGTAGGCTTAGCTTAGGCTTCGTTTTGGCTTAGGCCTACTCACCTGATTGCTGCAATACTTGATGTACGCCTCGAAGTTGGTCTCAAAGTGGTGGATGAGGATGTCGGAGAGGCAGTCGAGGACTAGCGACTCTTCCAGCCGAGTCTCGAGGTCGACGAGAAGCCTTAGAAATTCCTGTTTAAGGACAGGGAAGAGAAAGCGAGAGAGAGAGAGAGAGAGAGAGAGAGAGAGAGAGAGAGCGCGCGCAAGAGACACTCACCTTTCACTACAATCCCGGACAGCGAAAATGTTGCTGAACAAGTGCTTCCGATCGTCGTTGGCTATTACAGAGTCCGAGCTTTTTGAGCCTGAATGTGGTATTTTTATCTACTTGAAATTCTTCAATACATTAATTTAAAGACGCCTTAAATTTTTCTATACCTAACATCGCCTTGTCGGCCATGAAGTGCGTGATGAGGATGTTCAACGACCGCAAGTAGCTGGCTTCGCTGGTGATGACCTAAAACATAAGGTTTGGCATATTTTTGGGGCCAACCTCAAAATACGCTTCCTGGAGCTGCTTGGTCTCGTCGTCAAGTTGGTCGAGTAGGCCAGCATCTTTCACTTCTGGGAGTTCACACCATAGACTACGTTGGCTGCCGTAGCGCACGCTTTCGAGTCGGTCACGTCTGCAAAAGGGGGCGTAGTTCAGGAAAGTATGAAGCGTAGCTTAAAGTAGATTTGTATAGGTATCTATTAATCCGCTTAGTTAGTTTCCGCATAGTCTCCGCATAGTTCAGCGTCCGACGTAACATCGTGTCAACGTCTAATACGCACTACCGGCGCACCACTTCATGCGTATCACGAATATTCGTACGGATTGTCCCGCAACTTAGTGTAAGTACGTATCATCGCGTAGCGCTTGTTAGATACGTATCGTTGCTAACAAAGCTTAAACATGTATCGCCGCGTAGCATAGAGTAATCCTTATCTGACGCATCGCGGTGAACTGTACTTTTCCTATCCTAGTGCACTGTACTTTACCTACCTCAAAGATGTACTCGACGTCAAGGCTGACGAGCTATGCGTCGTGGAGTGCGAACAATCAGCTCGAAGCCCAGAATCCGATGACGACGAGGACGACTCCCTTCGTAAGTTCTAAAGGTACCATCAAGTGACTTCGCTGATGGAATTGACAAACCATTGTTTTCTGAATAATCATCTGCGCCGGCTCGTTGATTTGGGACTCAAGGATCTTCTCCTGCTCGGCGAGCATGTACAATTGATATAGAGGTTGAGTGTTGTGGAGTCGGGAGGAGAATGACTTGGATTCGGGCTCATCCTAAAAGGTTCAGCTTAGGCTCAGGCTTAGGCTTGAGCTTAGGCTTAGGCTTGGGCTTAGGTTTAGCTTAAGCTTAGGCTTAGGCATATGACCTTAAGTTCTCGAATCTCCCCTACCTCCTTAACGCTCAACCCATCCAGCCCGACGGTCAATTCCTGGACTTCAGGCGAAAAACAAAGACCCTCAGTCTCCGGGCAAAATGTGGCGGAACTGGAGCAAGCTGAAAACAACCGTAATTTTCCGGTATATATCCCTAATGACGCTAGCGATCGTGCAGAACTGAGAGGGGTACGTAGCGATACAACCGACAATCACGACATTCCGTCCACACTACCTATATGGAAATTTTACACGCGTGTGTGGAGGAGGTACTCGTATGGGGGGTTGTGTGTAAAAGGAGACACACGGAAACGCATGAGGTGCATGTACACACCCGTTATTTAGGGAGTGGTGGGTGATGGCACTGAAAAAGGGAGAAGTGGTTGTGAGAGAGAGAGAGAGAGAGAGGAGAGAGAGAGGGAGAGAGAAGGGAGAGCGAGAGAGTGAGTAGAGAGAGAGAGAGAGAGAGAGAGAGAGAGAGAGAGAGAGAATCCTGCTGCTCACCTGGCTCTGCCGACGGAAAAGCTTCCCGGAGATGTGGTTCCATCACTTCATGCAAAGATGGCGGATTCAGCGGGTCGAGCTCTGTTTGTATACCGATGAAAAATCAATTTATTCTTTTAAGGGAACGTGGAAGGCGGATTACAGGGTTGATTTTTAAAAGGGGAGAGTGATCTAAAAAAGAGAGAGACAACGAGAGAGAGAGAGAGCGCGAGAGAAAGAGAGTCAGAGAACGAGAATGCGAAAGAATGAAAGAGCGAGAGTGCGCAAGCTAGAGAGAGAGCAAGATAGAAAGAGAGAGAGAGAGCCAGAGGAAGCGAGACAGAGAAAGGGCGAGCCTAATTTTTAATATACCATTCGCTAAAAATAGCTTTTCTAGTAGCCATTTGAACGTTGTATATAGTGGGGGCCCCGTGTTGAGTCGCCCGAGGAAGCAGAAGCACGAAAAGGGGGGCGTAGAAAACGGATTGCTCATCGGCAATCATCGTCTCCCGGTGGGGTGGGCCCAAATCGTGAGTGTTCTCGTGCCATTAGTTGCCGTTTTGCACACTTTTGTTGCTACACCACATAATCAAAATTTTACAAGGTTGAGGAGGGTGACAAAATTTGGGGAATACCCTAAAGTCGCCTCTACCTGGTGATCGGATCTCCACCTCACCATCCGTCGACCAGTCATCACCGTAGATATATCTGTAAAGTATGACCGATTTATCGACATAGCAAATTTAAAGGAGGAGGCCCAAAACACACACTCGAACATATCCGACTTTCAAGACATTCGACACAGCGAAAATTCGGGCTTATAAGATTTCGGCAACCTGAAAATCCGGCATTTTAAAAATGACTTGGATCCAGGCCTTTGCTTGGGCTTATGAAATTGAAATTAGGACATTGCCCCGCTTAACCTCCAAAACCCAACCGGTTACGCAAATTGCTACACACGTCGCGTACCGCTGC